TCTTAATTTTCTAAATTTTTTATTTTTTATTAAAAAAAATCTCAGCATTTATTGATTTGGTCAAAATCCCCTGATCAGCATTTATTAAATTTTTTCAATCCATATGTCTTTCCACATGCCTGCATTTATTGATTTGGTCAAAATCTCTTGATCGGCGTTTAAAATCCCCTCATACAAATAATTATAGATACAACATGTGCATAATTACTGCAGTAACATTTTTAATTTCTTCTGTACACTATGGTTAGTAATAAGATTATTAAATTATTTTTATAAAAAAAATCTTTAAAAATATAATTTATATATTAAAAAAAATCTAAAATAAATATAAATATCTATAATTATTCCGTGCATAGCACGGGTGATAGGCTAGTATATTTTAAGGAAAAAATGGTTTCTAACCCCCAAGCCTCGTGGGGAGTTCCAATATCTCAATCTGAATTTTTAAAATTTTTTATTTAAAAAAAAACATCAACATTTATTAATTTGGTCAAAATTCTCTGATTATCATTTATTAACTTTTTTAATCTACATGTCTTTTCACATGCCTACATTTATTGATTTGGTCAAAATTTTCTGATCAACATTGAAAATCCTCTCATATAAATAATTATACACTATAATTAATGATAAAATTATTAAATTATTTTTATAAAAAATTTAAAATAAATATAAATATTTATAATTATTTCATGCATAGCACAGTGATAAGTTAGTAGTTCGTAAATTTAAAGTGAAGTGGTAGAATGGCCCCATTCTTTTCGCCCCTGATTACAAGTTTAAACCACTCAATTACATTTTGGACCCTTTAACTCATTACGATTGTAAAATTATAGTAGAATAAATTACTATTTGATAAATTATTAATATATCTTAATGGTTTCGGATCACTTAAATAAGCTACATTTTGTTTTTAAATTTTTTATTTTTAGTGACTTATTTTAAAAGTTATGTCAAAACTTTTTACTTTTTCCGTTCGTCTCAAGACGTATTAAAAGGTTTTTTTTTTATAAAAAAAATTCAAATAAAAAATAAGCCAAAAGAAGCACACAAAATTTTTTTTGCTTATTTTTTTCTTCTTTGATTTTTTTTATAAAAAATTATAATTTTTCGATTCGTTTTGTCGAGTTGAATCTAAAAACTTAAAGTTTTTAAAAAAAAATTTAAAAAAATTATTAAAGACAAAAATAAGCCAAAAAATAAGTAAACACAAAACCACACTGTTTTTTGCGATGATTTTTTACATCTGTTACTAAAAATTGACTATCAGTGACTTTTTTATTACGATTTCTATAAATTGTCGTTAAAACTTATAATTAATGATTTTTGTATGAAGAACTTTTTTAAATTGTCGCTGAAAACTGAAAATTAGTGACTTTTTTTGTGATTTTTTTTTAAAATGTCTCTAAAATTTATAATTAATGACTTCCTGTGATAAAATTTTTGAACTGACACTTAAAATTTAACAATTAGTGGCTTTTTTTTTAATGTTATTTGATGAAAAACACCGTTGATTATCACAAAACTTATTAGACAATAATTTCACCTATCAGAACCCCAAAATTATTTCATGGGTAAATTACACTGACACCCCTAAGGTTTGGTCCAATTACATTCCACCTCCTGACTTTTTGAAAATTATATTCCCACCCTTGTAGTTAATAGTATCATTTCACAAACTCCGTACTTATATAAAAAGCAACAGCTCCTAGTAGAAAAACAAAGAAAATTATATTAAAAAAAAAAGGAAAGGAAATGAAAAAAGAAAAAAAGAAAAAAAAAGAGAGGAAGTAAAAAAAGAAAAAGAAAAGAGAGTGTATGAGCTCAATGTTTTCATTCTGTCTAATAATTACAATGATAGAAAGTTAGTATAATTTTTCCAATGTCAGGGTATAATATGTATTAAATTCAAATTTTATGAGCTATGAGTGCAATTTACCCTTATTTCATACTATCTTAAAACTGTCTATAAAATATAATTAATGTTGTGTTTGGTTAGGAGATTTGAAAAAAAATTTAAAAATGAAAAGAAAAAATGTATGTAAAATTATGTAAAATATAGATATATTTTTATTTATATTTCACTTATATTTTTATTTTTTTTAAATGTTTTTACAAATTTCTCGACTATGCAAAGAGGATTTTTTTGAAAAAAAAACACAGGCGCGGCCGCTGAATAAACTTTTCATAAACTAGGGGGGGAATGTGATTATCCATGTGTTTTTGTCGCTGAACTGCTTTTTCATTCGCACATAGATAACGTGTTTCTCGATTGAATTTTTTGTGGAGTTATTTTAGAGTTATTTTTATTTTTTTATTTTTGGGTGCGTTTAACCTATGAAATTTTATGTAAAATTATATATAGTATGCATTACATATTGGAGAATTTTTCTTTTTCACATGATTGAGTTTTTTTTTTTTTTTATAAATGATTATCCTGAATTTTTTAAAATAATTTGAGCATTTTTTTTACTTTTTAAATATACTTAACATAAATACACCTAAAAAGTAAAAAAAATGTAAAAAAAATATTTAAAAAATTCACTAAATACCAAAAATATAATAAAAATACAAGAATTCAGTACATTTTTTATATTTCTATGTATTTATTAATTTTTTAAAAATATTTTTTCACAAATTTTTTACTTTTTAGATACATCTAAGTGAGATGCATATAAAAAAGTAAAAAAATATTTAAAAATTTAAAAATATTCACTAAAAATAAAAAAAAATACGAAAATCAAAAAACTCAATTTTTAAAAAATTTAATTCAGAAAGCTCAAACCAAACACACTGGATTGTTTCTTTAATTGAGTATTATTATACTTTTAATTTTTATAAAATTAAATATCAATTATTAAAAAATATACTATTGTTTCTTCAATTGAGTATTATTGTATTTTGTGAGAAAAAAAAAAATTGAAATGATTATAAGTTTGATAAAATATTTTATTTTATTAATTATTTTAATTTATTTTATCTTTTATAAATTTTAACCTTAAAAAACTATTTTTTAACTTTCCAACCATATATATATATATATATCTGAATCATTTTCATTGAGAAAAATACTTACAAATTTGCATTTGCAAATATCAGTGTCTAAACTGTTCAGAGAGAGCGAAGGTAGAGATGTCATCGGTAGTGGGGTTTGCTTCTCAGGAAAGCAATAGTTCAGAAGACGGAAACGAACAGCTCGATTTGCTTAATATTCCGGATCCAACGGTTACGAATCTTCTCTCATTTCCAATTCAGGCCTTTCTGAAAGCGGCGGTTTCCCTCAAAGACCAGGTACGTCAACAAACAACCATTACTGAAAACTTTGAATTCCAATTGGTGGTGGTGGGCGTAGGATAAGGTTGTGTCGTCCTTAGGAGCAAGTTAACTGAAGCCGGTGGTGTATGTTTGTGTGTGGGTGTGTGAGTTAGGTGGTACAAGTCACGTGGGAAGGATGGTGTGAAGAACAGGGGAGTAGTACGGACCCAACCGCATTCACGGGTTTGCTCGGGACAGCTTTCACATGCTTGCGGTCCTACGAGGCCACCAGTAGTCAGCGGGATTTGCTATTGTGCGCCGAGGTCGTCGACATTTGTGCTTCCATTGCACGCAACTCCACCAGGTGATTCCTTGCTTTCCGATTAATTAATCAACGCCACTTTAATTCCAGCGGTTACTAACCTCGTGTGCTAATTGGTTAATTTTATAGTATAAATTCATTGGTAATAAATTTACGAATTCACAGATTCAAAACCGATTGTGTATTTTTTTATGATGCATGAGAGATACGGTAACCTGCCTCATCCTCTAATGCCATCTCCAACGGTGCATCAAATTTTACATTAAGTTTAAAATTTAATAAAAAAAATCACTTTTTCTCACTTTAATAATTTCATCAAATTGATATCAAAATAAGAATGGAACAAAAATTTCATCAAACTGAGGACAATCTTTTCATTATTCTATACCGTTAGACGGGGGCAACCGGTCAATCGGTTCCCTTTCAAATAGGTAGGTTCAAACAGGTAAAAGGTTCAAACAGTTTTTAAAAAAAAAAAAACTTACCGGTCGACCCACCGGCATGGTTATCAGAATCCCAATCCGGATCTTACGATCCATTTGAGTGCAATCGATTCGGATTGTGTAAAAAATTCCTTATAGGTAGGATCTTTTGATCCTGGTAGTGGGATCTTATAGGATCGTGGAATCCCGATCTGAATCCGATCCTATCCGATCCAATTTACAAGCCTTGTTTTGTATTGCATGACATATTTTGTTGTAAATTTTATATTTGTTGTCTAAATATCAATTTATGTTGTCAAAATAAATAATAAAAATTAAGTAGTATTGAATTAAATAGACTAAGAAAAACAAACTAGGAAACAAACATTCAAATATTACGGTAATTTAAGAAAATTAAATAGTCGAAAAAACAAACTTAGCTTTAGCAGAGTCTAAGAAGGGTAAGATGATTGTAACTTTATCCCAATTTCTGGAGAAATTATTTTTTGTGACTCGAATCCGCTCCATCAGGGATGCTAACGACAAACCTTATCATTCGACTAAGCTACTCTTTTGAGTTCTTAATCTATTTTCATATCCAATTTTGTTAAATATTTTTTCTTCACTTTTTATGCATTATTGTACATTGTAAAGTATTTTGTTATAGAATTCTTCTTTTTCTTCCCCTTCTTTTTTTGATAAAATACAGAACTTTTACCATAGAGTTTTTTATTGCATAATATTATATGTACATTTTACATGGAGTATTATATTTTTCACAATATCTTCACTTCTTTTTAATAAAATATAGGTTCATTTTGTGTATACTTTATAAGAAATATTTATTTAAATTAAATTATTATGTAATTTGTCTTTTTCGGTAAGATCTTACGATTCTCGATCCGATCCTATAAACACCTCCAACGATCCAACGTAGGATCCTGATTTTAACAACCTTGCCCACCGGATGACCCTTCCCTTTTGATGCACCGTTGGAGCAAGCCATATTAGAGAAAATCAGTTATTTTTTACTCAGATTTGGTAAAAAAAAGTAATGCACCGTTAGAGATGCTCTAATGTATTTCAACTTCTTCTTTTTTTAATAAATAAATAAATTAATTAAAATTAAATTTATGCTTTAAGGGGTGTTTGGTTGGGGCTATCTGAATACCCAAATAATGCCAGGAATGTCCAACAACGACCGGCTATGTATGCTATCCGGAAAAATAGTGAAATTAATGAAATCAACCACATTTAAAGCCTCCAGTTTTATTGATTTACTTTATTTTATTAGGTGAGTGAACCATCAAATCTCCTCTTTAACCTCTGCAATCTCAGACAATCAACTTTGCGTATATATATATATATACTCCCTCCGTCCCAAAATAAAATGTGAAGTAGTAAATATGGGAACCCGTGTTAACTTCTTATCTAGACCACGTAAACATTATTTAAAACAATATTTTCATTGATTTAAGTTTAGGGTTTGGTTTGGCATAACCTACAAAAGTTAAAAAATCAAAAAATTATTAAAAAAGTCAAAAAGTCCATACTATTTGGGGGATGCTTGTGGGGGAAGCTTAGAGGGCAAAATATTCAACTATCCAAAAGTCAAAAAGTCAACAATGGTAGAATGGTCATTTTGATTTTACAATGATAGAGACCCCCACAAAACACAACCCCCAAAATGATCTGAACCATTCATGTCACTGGGGGTGTTTGGTGCAGCTTTTTTAAGCCAACTTATGGCTTCTGGCTTTTAAAAAGTTATTTTGGACTGTTTGGTTAAACTTATTTCAAACAGCTTCTGATCCTAACAACTTATTTTAAGTCAAAAAAGCTGATTCTGAGAAGCTGCTCACCCCTTGCTTCTGATTATCAGCTTCTGCTGTGGACATGTTAATTCACGGTTATACTCTTAGATTTTTTTATTTTTTATTTTTTTAAAAATAGAAAAAGACTCAAATAGACTATTAAATATTATTATTATTTTTTATGAAAAATGTAGACAAATAGTGAATAATAAAAAATAAAAATTAATTGAAAAAGCTACTTCATAGCTTATTTAACAAACACTACTCAGCAACTTAAATCTATAATCCAACAGCTATACCAAACAGATTAACCGCTTCTGATTAAAGTCATAATCTATAATCTGTTAAGCTATAATCTATAATCTGTTTTAACAGCTACACCAAACACCTGTATGCTATCCGGAAAAATAGTGAAATTAATGAAATCAACCACATTTAAAGCCTCTAGTTTTATTGATTTACTTTATTTTATTAGGTGAGTGAACCATCAAATCTCCTCTTTAACCTCTGCAATCTCAGACAATCAACTTTGCATATATATATATAATTGATGTCATTTATCCTCGAACCACCTGAATCCGGACTATTAGAATTTGGAAATGTGGGCACAGTTGCAGTGAGATTCCATTTGTTAACATTACATGTAAATATGGCACTATATACATAATATCTACATTTTTTTATATTTTCATTAGCAGAAAGTTTGAAGATAAAGATAGCGATATTATGCTAGTAGCTTTAATTGTTTATTTTATTGGGGGGAATTTAATAATTGAATTGATTGGCAGACACGTGACATTTTTGTGCGGTAAAGGAGGAGTATATGCGCTTGGTGCAGTGGTAGCTAATCTGAAGGGGGACCATCAGAAGCGTGACCTGTTTCTGGATCTCTTCCTTGAGGTATATATATACCACCACTCATGTCAATTATGGGTCATCCTCACTGGGTTATACTAACCATTTAAATATCACTAGCTGGTAGACGACTTTTTTGAAAATTCCTTTTTTTTTTTTATATAAAAAATTAAATAGTTTCAATAATTATAGTAATTGTTGTTATATGATTTTGTCATTATTTTTATAAACATATTTTTAAAATCAAAATCTACGAATTTTATCATAAATAATTTACATTTAAAAAAACCTAAAAATGAAAACCTAAAAATGAATGGATTAAATAATTAAAGTAAGGCTACCGTGAGTCCACAATGGATTGAACAAATTAGTCCTTTTGACAAATTGGATTAAATACGGAAAATCCCTTGGACCCCCAGTGGGGGTGACCCCCGCCACCCCTACTGATTTTTGATTGGTTGAAAATTGTTTTTTTTTTTGTACATATATTTTTTTTATAAAAAATTAAATAGTTTCAATAATTATAGTAATTGTTGTTATATGATTTTGTCATTATTTTTTATAAACATATTTTTAAAATCAAAATCTACTTAATTTGAATTTTATCATAAATAATTTACATTTAAAAAAACTTAAAAATGAATGGATTAAATAATTAAAGTAGGGCTACTGTGAGTCCATAATGGATTGAACAAATTAGTCCTTTCGACAGATTGGATATAATACACGAAAAATCTCTTGGACCCCACTGGGTGACCCCACCACTCCACTAATTTTTGATTGACTGACAATTATTATTATTATTTTTTTTATCTTGCTCACACAGCCCCACGTGGAAGTGGGGGGCACTGCGGGTCACCCCCACCCAGCAGTGCTCGATACAATACAGGCCCTTATTTGGGAAATCAGATATATGAATGAATATCTCCTTTAACCAATTTGGGTCATAAAATATCCATTTGTCTATAATCCAACCAACGGGTAGTATTTAATATAGGCCGTGTAATATTCATGGCCTCACAATAAGCAAGTTGGGCCCTACGTGTTGATTTTTTCCCTTAACTTCTGTGGCTGGCCTATTTAGGGTTCCTTTACGTAACAGTTTTTTTTTTTTTTTTAAATATTAATTAACATGGGCTTGTTTTAACTTGTCTTAGTTACATGACCCAAATTAATCAATTGTTGGCAACTACACTTTTAACAAGACCCTTTGTTGAAAGGGATGATAAGAGCATCATGGTGGACTTTTTAAGAAGCGTGTTAGTCCAATGTTTGTCAATTATCAATTGACACATCCAATTTACTACTCCAATGGATATATTAAGTAGCCTTCTAAACTTGCCAGAAGCTAACTTAGTTGTTAACTGAGTGTCTTAGTCAATGAGAGAGGAGGCGGGGTTCATATATTTTTTTTACATTTTATTCTTCATATATAACACATTAAAGTGAGTCTCACTCTCATTTAATATTTTTTAACGTACACTTTAACACATCTATTGGAGCACCCATTCACTCCCGAAATTAACTTGACACACAAATTGGGTCCATTTTTATCACTTTTTTTTTTCTTTTTTTCCCCCTATTAACATCCAAAGCCATTGCATTAGAGATGCTCTTAGCAACCAACCAGTAGACAAGTTAACATTATGAATGAAGTGGATTAATAATTTCACATAACATCAATGGAGCTATAATAATTTGTTTTTGCAATCCCTTGGACTTGTTTAATTTGAAAGGGCTGATGCAAATAGATAAAAGTTTGATTTGTCAATGGTAGTGTGCTTGATTAAAAAACTACAAGAAGAATGCTATGCTTTCAAACTAATCACAAAGCCTAATATCCTTTGCTAGGTTTTGAGTTTCCGAAAGGAAAGAAGATTGAACTTTGCCCTTATCTTTGCTCCCATTTGTCTGTTTTAAACACCCGACAACCTCCCAAAAAGTAGAAAAGAAAAAAGAAAAAGAAAACCTCATAATTTATTGAGAGGGAGAAGTGCTACAAGTATATAATACCTTGTTTCGACTGATGAAGATGAAATGTCACTAAATGTTTAGTGCCATATGCAGCATCGTTTTGTCAAAAATATATGATGATTATTTTTTCAAAGTTTATTCATCGTAGTCTCTTGACTTTGTTGCTTTAAGTGGTGTACGGGGAGGAAATAATTCTCCTCGTATAATCCTGTTGACCAAGTCCACGCTCCTCCGTACGACGTCGCTTTATCACCTGAAAACACAAACGTGTGCTAGCCGGCGGGTGAGTGCCGGAAACCTCTCCGATGCCTGAGTCAGTAAGCTTGACAAATAGACAAAGTTTTATGTTCTCAGAAAGAATTGTGTTCAATTACCTCCTCCAAGGTGATGCTTGTGAGCTTTTACAGGTTTCAAGTGGCATAATCCTAGTAGGACTTTTATTTCTCCATGCAGAGTCCTCCTAGGATTCATACTCCTAAAGGATAATGCTTATCCTTTTACACCCCCCCCCACTTCAAAATTGCTTATATATAGTTTTAACTAC